CCGACCTGGCATTGCAAAGGAGCAGGGTGAGGTTCTGTGGAATGGTTAGTCTGCTCTCCAAACCATTCTGAGAAACAGAGGGAACTGAAGATGGGATAGCTCTCAGACTTGCTTTGTTAAAAACCACATACACATATCAGTGAAACCTGTTATTTCAGTACACGCACCCCGTCACAGGAGGACTGGGAAAAGAGAGACACTTTCAGAAGAGCATGGAAAGCACATGGCTAACCCTAAAGTCCCATGCCCAGGGCCTTCTCCTACTCCCTGGCCTATACCCTTGCAGATGTGGCAGCCATGGATGTCTTTTGATACTCTGAGCTGGTCAGAAGATGCCAACCTTGGTAGCCCATTTGTGGTTGTCTGTGGCCTACTGACACGGGTAGCATTTCTCATCATCCATGCATCATGTGCTTATTCTTGTGTAGATGCCACATGGCATGTGCGCTGACAGGTTTTTCGTGTGTTTTTCTGTAGGCAAACTAGTATGTTGAGAGAACATTTGTGTGTGTATATTTCTGGGACATAGGGTGGGTGTGCACGTGCACACTCAGAGAACAGTTCGATAGGAGAGGGAGGCTGGGCAGTTAGGAAGCTGGGGTTTTTTTTGAATGAGAATTATAGACATATTGTTATACCCCAGTATTTTGATCCCAAGAAAGGACATCCAAATGCTTCCAAGGGTAGAAACAGGGCATGAAAGTAACACTCACTACATCAGCCATCTCAAGTACCCCATGTTCTTGAGCAATTTTTCAAAAACACTATTTTCATAAGTTATTTTTAAAAGGTTCCTATGGCTCTCTGGTTAAGGAATCAGTTCTGTTTATTAAGTGGAATACCACATTTATTTTGTTCCTCTAAGCATGGGAAGTGACAGGTCTGACCAGTCACCATTTGCGATGGGCACCAATATCATATAAGTGTGCAGTACTTATAAGCATGATGTATGTAAGTTATGCAGAAGAGAGATGGTGAGAGAGTGAAAACTAAGTGTCACCTGAGCATTACCTGACCGGGGGAAGTTGTGACAAAATGTTATAACATATTTCTGCATTTGAACAGAAGTGCTCTTGACCCTGTGGATGAGACATTTCCAAGCCCTCTGTCCTTCACTGCCCTGCAAGCTCAGGCCAGCGACTTCCCTGGTTGAGTCCAGCCACCTGGTATGTGGTCCTCCTTTCTTTCTACTACCCTCTATCTTTCCTAGCATTATTGTCTTTTTTAGTGAGTCATGCCTTTTCATGATTTAGCCAAAATAAAACAGCCTCATCTTGGCTTCCATGGAAATTTCTGGTTTTATCTGATCAAGGACCCACTTGTTTGTCTTTTTGGCCATCCACAGTATCCTCAACACTCTTCTCCAGCCTCACATCCCAAATGAGTTAATTTTCTTCTTATCCACTTTTTTCACTGTCCAGCTCTCGCATCCATACATGCTGATGGGGAATACATTGGCTTGGACAATCCTAACTTTAGTGCTAATTTGTAAATTTTTACACTTTAGGACAGGGGTCGGCAACCTTTGTTGCCGGGGGGCCGGGAGGGGGGGAAAGGGCACGTGCTTGCCCCCGCCCGCGTGCATGCGTATGACGCCCCCCGTTGTGTGCATGCGTGCGTGCATGGGGGGCGCAATTTTGGAATTTGTATGGCGCAGGCCCGGTTGGGCCTTCTCAAGGCCCAGGGAAGGCCCTACCGCACCTGCGCCATGCGAATTCGCATGGCGCAGCCACCGTGGGGCCTTCCAAAATGGCGCCCACTGCCGTGCGCCCATGCTCACGTGTGGGATGGTGGTGGCGGCAGGGGGACCGGCCATGGGCCGGTCCCAAGGCCTCCGTGGGCCACACCCGACCCACGGACCGTAGGTTGCCAACCCCTGCTTTATGATTCTATCTAGTTCTTTCTTCCCTTCCCTTCCCATTCCTAGTCTTCTTCTGATATCCTGACTACATTGATCCAAGGTGCGGGAACTCTTTAACTGTTTCAATTTCCTCATTGTCTAGGTTGAACATGTAGTTCCTCTGTGGTAATTTTTTTGTTTGTTTGTTTTCATTATATTCAGCATTAAGCCTGTATTTACACTTTCTTTTTTTACTTCCTTAGCAATTGTTCCAAGTCTGTGATGCTTTCCTCTAGTAGTATGGTGTCATCTACATATCTTAGATTGTCGATGTTCCTTCTTCCTATCTTCACTCCTCTTTCCTCTGAGTCTAAACCTGCTCTTCTTAAGATATTTTCTGCATACAAGTTGAACAAAAAGGGTGATAGAATGAAGCCTTGCCTAACCCCTTTGCCAATTAGGAACCATTCTGTTTCTCTATATTCTGTTCTGACAGTAGCCTATTGTTCTACTGCTGGCTGTGCCCTTTGCTAAGATGGTTGGTGTTATTACAAAACTGCCATGTGTATTGAACATGGTCTACAAACTAAGGTGTGAGTATTAGCAGGATCTGAGAATCTCTCAGCCTTTTAAATGCAGCAAGGTATAAATGTGACAAATTTAATCAACTCATTTGAATTACGATGCTGCAGAAGAGTTCTATGGATACCATGGACTGCTAAAAAGACAAATAAATGGATCCTGCAGCAAATTAAGCCTGAATTCTCCCTTGAAGCCAAAATGACTCAACTGAGGCTGTCCTATTTTGGACATATCATGAGACAATGTGATTAACTGGAAAAGATAATAATTTGGGGAAAGCTGGAGGCAATAGGAAAAAAGGGGAGATCATATTACAGTTGGATTGATTCAGTAAAGGAAGCCACGACTGCCCTCAGTTTGCCAGACCTGAGCAATGCTGTTGATGACTGGCGCTCTTGGAGGTCTCTCATTCATAGGGTTGCCATAAGTCAAAATCAACTTGACGGCAATTAACAACAAGCCTCCTTTGGCATCTGCTGAAATATTTGTAATGAGGACATTTCTACATCTCACCTAGGAACACACCTAATCTGTTCCTACTCTGTTCCTGTTTTGTTCATGTAACTTGCAAATATAATATTTGTTGTTGTTGTTGTGTGCCTTCAAGTTGTTTCCAACTTATGGTGACCCTAAGGTGACTTTAACATGGGGTTTTCTGGGGCTGAGAGTGTGTGACTCAGGGAATTGAACCCTAGTCTCCAGAGTCATAGTCCAGTGCTCAAACCACTATACCAAAAATATTAAAAAAAAATTGTAATGGGTACATCCTCTATCCCTCTTTGTAAGAATTTGTTGCTGGGGTGTGTGCTCGGGGGGGGGGCACATTTCAAATCTCAGTCAGTCGGATATCCTATGCACAAGACAATTTGCCTGCCCACCGCATACAGTTGTAGGACATACATAGAATGCTCACAACATGCCTATGAGGCCGCCCATATTACAAGTACACATTCTTCCTTTGATTTGATTCTTCCCTTTAACAGTGAACTTGGGGTATGAGTGTCAATAGGAGTGCCA